TGTGTGTGTGTGCGTGCACACGCGTACCGCGGGGGAAAGGGACGGAAATAGAGAAAGGGAAGGGGGGCGACAGAGATAGCAGATAGCACGCACGAGTGTGTGCCGGGTGTATCAGAGCAAACACCCTTAGTGTTGCGGGTTTGCATAAACGATTGGGGCCTGCTGGCCGGGCAGAAGTATCTGTTAAGGGAGCCACCTCATGATGAAGCTTACCTGATGTGCCTCCACCATGGTGACCGTTGGGCAGCGCCGGGTGAATCAGTCCCATAAGTGGCGCGCGCGCGTCACCTGCAACAAGAATACCAGCACACATGAGACACGGCGATCCTCCTCGACTTCGACGCGACTGTATAGAAAGTGACGGCCGCACCACCCGTGAGCGCCGCGGTGGCGCATGGAGCCGCGGCGCCGCGGCGCGCCTTGTTCTCGCTGCACTCCACCCCCTCCCCCTCCCAGGCAGAAGCAGAAGCAGGCCTGCACTCCCAAGTTCAATGGGGCAGCGAGTCACTGGGGCATCGCGCCGACTACCCGGCCGCGGCAAGGGGGGAGGGGCGGGGGCGGGCGTTACGGCTTTTCCACGGCTTGCGTATTCGCTCAGGTCATTCCCCTCGTGTGGAGCCGAGCGCTGCAGTGTGCGCATATGCATTCGAGGTGGGTGCCAGAGTCGACAGTCAACTCTGGGACGAGGGTAGGGTCCAAGGGCCCAGGCCCTCGACAAAGCACGACAAGTCGACCAGGATGAAATTGACAATCGGGGTCACGATCCACGAGAGCAGAAGGTAAGGCAGAACAACAGTACAAGTTCATTAAGATATTGAACCTGACAATGGAGCAGCACAGTATCAAACACAGTGGGGCTTCGCGATGCGGTTTATCAAGGAGTCTGGAAGCATGAGTCGATAGCCGAGCTGCCCTGTTCACTGTTTAGCCCCCGCTCCGCCAAGGCCTACGACCTGCTCCGGCCGGCATGGCTGCAGCAGCGAACGAAACTAAACTTTCGATGGCCTGCATTTTTGCACTCTTTCTCTACTGGCGAACCTACGGCAGGCTATCCGGTTCAGTTACACAGAGAAGACGACTCTCATTGGGCGCGGGGGGAGGGCGAGAGCTTTCATTGAAGAAAAGTGAGAGACGGAGGAAGGAGGAGGAGGAGGATGGCAACGAGCACAGAGAAAAGACAAGTGGAAGAGAGAGAAACCCTTTAAAAAGTGGTTTGCGCACTGTTGGTTCAGTATGTGTGTCCATGTATGTGAGCGGTTGTGTGTTACTTCCAGTCGAGGTGAACGACCGATGCTGCAGTAGATGCAGTCTTCTTCCCCCTCACCGCTCCCCTCTCTCTGCTCCCCACCTCTTTTCACCCTCATTCTGCTCCTAGCTCGCTCACTCTCGCTGTGTTCCTGTTCTCCTACTCTCCAGCCCCGGCCCTCCCCTTCCCTTCAGACATGAGTGAAGACAAACATGAAAAGGGAAAGAGAGGCTGTCGATTCTCGGAAACACTTGCGTGTGGTTAGTTAGGTTTTGGGGTGAACGAGAAAGCAAGAGATCCGGAGGTGCGCGGGTGTGGAGGAAAAGGAAAAGAGGGGGGGGGGGACAAGCGCAAGTGTCATCGGTGTCATCAAGACCTTGACATCTGGTCCCCCTCAGTATGCATGCCAGGTGCTTGAAAGCTCTCCCATGTATTTTGTCAATACTGTAGATGATTCCAAGACACGGTTAATGCAATGTATTGGAAGAGAAGAAAAGCGGAAAAGCGCTACTTTTTTAACCGCCCCCTCCCCCCTCCCCCTTTAGCCCAACTTGCTTCCTATTCAGGTTTTTCTGCTCCAACGTGAAATGGTCTTTTGTTCTTGGGGTTCTCAAGACATTCTAATCGCTGAAATCCGTCGCACTATGACTGTCGTAATGCGCATGTTTATGTACCATGAACTTGATGCAAGGACCGACTCTTCTCGGCGAAATAAGCAACAAGGAAAGAGGGCCTCTCTGGCGCGTCGCAGTGTGCGCGGCCCTTCCCGCACACACCTGCGAGTGCGCGAGCGCGAGTGAGAGGGAAGATGTCCCGGTCGTCGACCTGGCCCGGCCCGGCCCGCGGGCGCAAGCCAAGCCCAACGGGGCCGGGCCGCGACGTGGCGAGCCGCAGCCGCGCCCAGGAGGTACGTGAAGATACTCGGGTGCCGGCCGGGCCGACCCGACGTCAGCCAGCGGCGACAATGAGGCCCACGATCGCGGCCGCCGGCGCAGAAAGGGTCCCCACCGAAGCGTCGCCCGCGATACAGTCCCTATGGGGGGACCGTACTAACAGTTTTGCTGGAAAAGTGCACACCGCATATAACTTTTATAGGCATAACTTCTCGCTGATACACGGTGATTATCTGATGCACATTTTATATCTTATACAAAGCACGTGTGTATCCCCCGCTCATACATAGCTTACGTATGGGCGGACCCTTCTTGCCGCTTGCCGCCTTGGCGGGCAGTGATTAACGCGAGCGTCCATCCGTTCCACGCGTAGATCATACGGGGAGGAGGAGGAGGGGGGCGGGCAGCGGCCGCGCCCCGCCGCGAAGTGGACGGGCTTAAAGGAGGCCAGGCCACGTGGACTGCCCGCCCGGCGGCCCAGGGCCGCGAAAGAGCGACGACGCGGGAGTGCGCACTGCTTACTTCCTCCTCTAAAATTATATGGGCAGGAGCGTTATTGTTCTACCGAGCTTAAAGATGCGTTTCTTTGAGCACATCCAAATGAAATACCAAAAAAGGGATCATCCACAAAGTACGTCCGTCGTTGGTAGTTACGAAACGGCCAGGTTAGCCCTATGCTACCTCTCATGGCGCCTGATAG